GAAGCAATCAAACTCGCTTGGGATTTTAATCTATGCCTGAAATTCAAATGAGTATGGGATCAAAATGGCACCCTTGGAAGGGAAATATAAGCTTTCACTTTCATGTTGTTTTTTTCCGTTCTAGGTCTTTATCTGCTCATTGTAGAACATTTTTAATAAAAACTTGAAGCGAGTAATAATTCTGGATTATCAGGTTACAGATCTGCCTTAAAAAAAATATTGTGGCTCTCAGCTGTTCAACAAAATACTGAACACAGCGAATCATGTTGAATTTCCTCCCAGTACCATAAAACTATTTGAATTTCATTTGATTGGACATACTCTCAGGAAATCAGGCAGCTGCATAACAAAGAAAGTTTTGGATTGGAACCCACAGGGCAAGAGATCAAGGGGAAGACCTCGTGGAACCTGGAGAAGAATCACAGAAATCGATGTACAGAAAAGTAGGAAGACATGGAATAACATCAAGAGGCTAGCCCAGGATAGAGAAAGGTGGAAGGTGTTTGTCCATGGCCTATACCCTGGTGCAGGGTGAGAAAGGCAATGACGATGATGACTATTATTACTATTAAAACTATTACAATGTGTTAGACTAAATACTTTCTGCTAAAATGGCTTAGATTTAGCATCTGAGACTTCAAACCCTCTCATTTTTATTAAAAGTTGTGTCACGATCATGAAACCAAACAAACCTGAAAATTCAAGAGTTTGAGGTAGAATAGCAGTCTAAAACTTTTCTTTAATAAATTACTTATTACAGCAGCAGTAAGACAAGTTTTAATGAAAATAAATGTGATCAATGTCAATACTGAGCAAAAAATCACCAGTGTGTCATCACTGTGCTTGCAAAAATGGCATTATAAACACTCAATTTGTTGCCAAAATGCAACTAGCCTCTTATTGGGTTCATTTGGACTATTTTTGTAAAATCCAAATAGAAATGCACTGCCAGTAACAAAAGAAATATTGCATGGCATGTTTTACTAGGGTAGGTTGGGGCAACTTCGACAGGTTCGTGTTGTTCCGCAAAAGTAACTGATACTGCTCCGGCCTTTATGAATGAACACAGACTATCTTCGTATCGTTGTGTCAAGCAGTTATTCAACTTCTCGCTTATTATGTTCTTTACTCTATTTGCATTTGGAACTTTCAAACAATCATGATTTTGTGGCATACCCTCGCTTGGGGCAACTTCGACAGGGGGTGGTGCAAACTTGACCCCCCGCATGGGGCAACTTTGAAATAGGCTGAAAGAGTAACAATACTGACTGACAGGGGCTCTGGGCAACTTCGACAGGGGGCGGATATATCTTCAACAGTACTGGGTTCTAATTCAACTTATTGTGTGCCCCCCCCTCTCTCTCTCAACTCCTCTAGAATGTTGAATTCTCTGTCTATCTCTCTCTCTCCTCCCCCCACTCATTCTCCGAGCATGCACGCACACAGGAAGACACGCACTCACATCATAGGCCTACGAGCACACACGCACAGACACACCCACACTTTCTCTCTCTCTCACACACGCACACACTTAGCTCAGAAAAAGCGATAGCTGAGCAGTCTAGATCTAGTCTAAGTCTAAATTTCTGCTAGTATTATCTGACCGGTCAAGGAATTTCGACCCATGATGAAAATAATAAAAACAAACAAGATTAATGAAATGTGGTAGTTTGTTAACTTAGGTGATTCTGCTTATGAAGCTGGTAGGTCGAAATTGCCCCGTTTCGCCCTGTCGAATTTGCAACAACCCCCCAAATCTCACCCTGTCATAAATAAATCACGTAAATTCATATAATCAACATTTCTAATTCTAATTGAATTTAAATGAACCTAAGGATACCAAAGTTTGGTTATATACACAACTGATCAATATTTTGAAGCTAGACAAGCGTATAGAAAGTAAATGACGGGTGAAATATCGATTTTTTTCTTCAAGAGCGAAAAGTACATGGCGACGACCCGCCGAACTTGGAATGGTTGTTTTCTGGAGCTTTCTGACTGACTAAAAACAGAAACAAGTGGAAGCCTAGGAATCCCAAATTTTATTTTTAGATAGAATCAAATGTGCAATGAACAAAAGTGGGCTTTGGCAATTCCAAGACACAGGGGTTAAATGATTCTCAACGCCAAATCTAGGTTGAGGCTGTTGAAGTTGCCCCAACCTACCCCAGATGATGAGAAAGTCAACATTATCTCAAAAGTAGCAAAATGAGATGTGTGCCGTTTTGCTAGTGATAGTGCATTGACGATAATAGTAGGAAGAGGCTAGCAGTACTTAACGATGGTTAGACTGCACAGCTAGGCATACTTACTATTTTAAATAGTGCTGCTAGACTGGCAGGCTAGCTGTACTATGACGGCTTGATGGCTGGGCTAGCCGTACTTAATGATGGCTAGACTGACAAACAGCAAAAAATAGGCCTACTGAATTGTAAATAAATTTTTAGTTTGCAATACCTAAGTATATTTGAGACGAAACCCAAAGGTGCCATACTGACAGTGCATGTATTTAAAACCTGAATAGACCTGTGTACTCAACAGTTTCTAATAGGGACTAAAATAAGTACAGCTAGACTGCTAGGCTAGCCGTACTTAAGAATGATGGCTGAATTCTTGAAGGCTAAATAAAATTTTAGTTTGCAATACAGTCGAACCTACCCTGACGGCCACCTCTATAAGACGGCCACCTGTTTCCCCACTTGCATTTTTTCTATATAATTTAACTGGGTAAAACGGGCACCTGTCCAACGCGGCCGCGGCCACCATATTTTAACACACAAAGCAATAACACCTGTCTTAGACGGCCACCTTAGTGACTCTATTACGTTTTGTCATAAACTGTCACTGACCCCTGGCGTTGTGGACGAGCCGTCATAATCCAATCACTTAGTCGTTGTTGTTAGGTAGTCCCTCCAACAAATCATGTTGCGTAGGCCCCTCCCACTGTTGACCAATAGGTACCAATTTTCAGCTGCTGGTGAGGTAAGCTCGTGATCCCTCATAACCCATAAGCCCTGCCCAGAACTCGTACACAAATCGTACGTGAGATGAGTAGTCACTGTTTACCCAGTCTGTAACAAAGTAACAATGGACGTCAACATGAACTTGCGACAGAAGCGTCGCTCCTTCTCAGAGTGGTGGCGACCCATGTGTTTGTTTTAACTTGGCACTCGGTCTTCCTCGTCTGATACATTTAGTTTTATAAATTATTGTCACCCTTGCGCAAAATCAGCAACAAAATAAAAATAACAAACAAGATACAAATCAACAGCAACAAAAACAACAGTGCGGCTACTTTCGATTGAGACTTCAGATGGGAATGGTTTGTTTTCTTCATCTTGATCAGTCCTGCCTAAGACGGCCACTTTTCTCCTTGACAATGGGTGGCTGTCTTACACAGGTTTGACTGTACATCCGAAGTCTGCTTGGCTAGCCATACTTAAGAATGACGGCTGAATTCTTGTAGGCTAATAAATAAAATTTTAGGTTGCAATACATCCAAAGTCAGTGAAGTATTTGTATTTCAGACGAAACCAAAAGGTTGACATTTTATTTTCAAACAGAAAAATTACTAGAAGTCTAGATCTAATGAGACCTGTGTACGCAACACGTTTCGGTAAATAGGGCTTACCTAGATCTAAGTACGGCTAGACTGACAGGCTAGCCGTACTTCTTAATATTATATAATTAAAATTAGGTAGTGTCAATTGCCACCGAGTGACGCGGTGGCAATTGACAAAAATTGTCTATTTGTCAATTGCCACCGAGTAAATTGGAGCTCTTTTGCGTTGGTGGGTAGATCTAGCTTATTGTGCTCGAGTGCTCGGTGTTGTGCGTTCGCCTTTCTGTCCCTCTGCGTGTATGTGTGTTTGTGTGTCTTTTCCTGACCCCCGTCCCCCGATTTATGTTCCCCGATATAACATGAATTTCTGTTTGAGTTTGTGTGCGTTTGTGACCTTCTACTTCTACTTCTAGAATTGCCTGTGTTGGTTCTACACCAAAGTGTAGGCTAAGACTAGCCAAGATCTAGGCCTACGTTTCATTGAAAACACGCCAAGTTGGTACCGTAGCTCTAGACTAGATGCTCGTCCAATGAAATTATAGAGAACAGATTGATCCATTAGACACACATTATGTATAATGCTAAAGATAGTGTTGTTTTCAGACTTGACACCGCTTCACTCATTGGCAATTGACAAAAAGTCAATTTTTGTCAATTGCCACCGCGTCACTCGGTGGCAATTGACGCTACCTTAAAATTATTATATAGATATCTAGACTATATAAATTAGGTACACTGTACAGCTAGCCGGTGATCTTTTATACTTTAGCACATTAAATTCTTCAAATTGATTTTACCTAGATTTGTAGACCTCCTAAGCTATCGTAGGCTAGAGGTCTATCTATCTCTACCTGTCTATCTATCTATCCCACCACACATACTCACGTACACACGCACGCGCGCCGGGCGAGCAGACCTCTAGCCTACGATAGCTTTGATAAAATCAATTGAAGAATTTTAGTTAATTTAACGTGCTAAAGTATAAGATCACCCAGCTAGCCCCTTCCATATCTAGATCTAGATCTATATTTATATTATAAAGATTCTAGATCTAGATATCTAGATCTAGATTCTAGATCTAGAAGTAGAATCTAGAGTTGTAAGATCTACAATCAAGCTAGAATCTTGATATCTAGATCTAGATTCTAGATCTAGATCTAGATTCTAGATCTAGATATATATGGAAACATACAAATCTGCACAGACTACAGACACTAGTCTAGATCTAATCTAGAAATCTAGATTTCTAGATATATCTCTATACTACCATGAGTCTGAGTAATGTCAGTGAGACACTGACTGTGACTTGATTCTAGTCTATCATTCTATCCAAGCCAGCACAACAGGACAACACACAGGTAAATTCTCATTTTAATTTAAGATCAAACAACATTTGTAACAGACACTCACATAACAAGTCTTGATATTATTGCAGAAACCATATCCCCTTCGCGGTGGTGTCCTTTGCTCTTCAAACAGAACTCAGTGGATTTAAAAAACGAATACTGAGTTGTGAAAGACTTCAACAATTTGAATCATATTCCAAGCTCAGTCGGCAGCCATCTTGATGTCGTCACAGCACGGTCATGTGACCAAAACATAACCACATGTAGGTCAGCGAATAAAAGTTCTGCAGAAGCCAACATCTCCAAAGCTACAAAATGTTTTCTGTGGATATTGATAAAAGCTACTTCTACTTCTTTAACGTTCTACTACAAAATTAAGTGATTATATTATCCTTACTGCTAACATCTGACTAGTCCAGTCGATATCTCTTGCGGTGTTTTTATGTTTCGGAATTTCAGCACTGAACTGGGATTAGGCCTACTGTCGGAGACTACTGAAAATGTCTGCTCTCGAGGCGGTCTGTAAAGAGACCTTGCATTAATATTTCAACAAGGCATTTGTATTGCGTTGTGAGGACAAACGTGAAAAATACTGTTGACAGTTACCTTTTAGAGGAACAGGCTAACAATATGACGACACATAAGGAGAACTATTTATTGCCATGCGGATGTACACTTAACTGTGACCTTTTGACCCACCAGATGTCAGTGTATTCATCCACTACGTAATCGGGTGTAGTGACATTCTTTGGAATTTTGTGTCAGTTTCACCAAAAAAATCTTCAACTATTATATTGTTTTTGCTTCAAGGATGTGAACGATGTCTTCCAAATGCAGGGATGAACTTGTTGGAAAGCGTTTCCTTTCTGTTAAAGCCGAAGGGAGACTAAAAGTTGGCAAAATTTCAGAGTGGGAATGGCGGTCTGGTTTTATACGCGCTGTTTCCACTCGGGATTCGAGCAACGCTGATTTCACAGTAAGTGTGTGACTTCTAAATTTCTGTTGAGGTTGTCCGTTTATGGTGTATGTTAAAAGTCTTACTTGTTTGCGTGTCGATTTATGGTGTGTTAATATTTGGAGAGAAATGCCACGTACTTCAAAGTCAAGTCAGGGGTGTTACATTGACTTGAGAATTGAGTAAAGTTATATCAACGAGGACGCCTGGCTACACACCATCTCGCCGCAGGGTCATAGACCTGAAAATCAGGTTATATTATAGACATCGTTGTCCTTGTAAACCTGGTCTTCAGTTAGACAGTGATGAAGATCTTATGTGGGTCTACCAATAAAGCGTTTATAACGGCGATAATCATTGAAGCATGTCTGTAGGGACCTGAATTCCTATTGTCTAAGACCGGGTTGTATTGTCAGTGTTTTCACTTGTCTTAAAACTTAGACTAGACGGTGCACACTTGTTTAACGGGACCTTTTGTTTCAAGCATGGATAGGCCAATATCTTGTCAAATTACATCGGGAAAAACTCCGAAGATAGGGTTCTAACCCATCATATTTGAATTAGATCTAGATTCTAGATCTAGTTCTCTAGAACTAGAACTGTGGTTCTATTTTGTCCCCAAGCTCAAGGTTAACACTACTAACACAAACAGTCACACACATGCTCGTTGCCGTTAGGCTATTATTTTGAGTCTATAGCCTATAGCATTCGAATTCTTGTTATAACCCCCCCCCCCCAAAAAAAAAAAAAAGAAGCAAAACCAGTAGCCTCACTCAACTCACTGGATATGTCAGAATTATCGTGTCACTGATGAGATGAATAAACAAAGAAAGAATACAACACTGCGACCAGTATCCAGTATTACTTTTAACTGTTGTAGCTCTTGTTAATTCCTCTTAGCTCATATTATTTATAATCAAACAAGTGGTCATATGTAGCATTTGTTATACTTCACACTAACTCAAGAGAGTGAACATTTTAAGTGATTTCAGTAACAAAAATGAACCAAAAATACTGTTTTGCTTTCTTTCAAAACATGTCAAATTTTAGTCAAAGTTAATTAACATTCAGAATAAATTCATTCATGAATACTATTATTTTTGAAAAAAGTCAAGAGTTTAAGGTATGCACAAGACTTGTAGCTTAGGCCTAGAATCTATACCTCAAACTCCTTCAAAAAGACGAGGCCTACCGGAAAAGTTAAATCGACTGTCATTTGTTTCAAGCTTGTTAACTGGGGGGGGGGGGGGGGGGGGG